GTGGCAGCGCCTTGGCGTAGAAAACGCGGGGCCCTGTCCCGCTCGCGGCCGCCGGATGAGCTTTCTTGCGCCGCGTCGCAATGGAATCGGAAAAGAAAGAGCAGCGAGGGCTGGCGCTTCGGACGCCGGTTGCTCAAGATGGGTGGTGCACCGACGTTGTGATTCTTTCATGACTGTTTTTTTCTCAGATTTGAATTGGCTTTGAAGGGATCATGTCGTTCAACATGGCCCACGACCGCGATGTCCTCAACGGCATGACGTACTACGAAGTGCTCAAGCTGGCCAAGACGCACCACGTGCAGAGCACCAAGTACCGCATGAGCAAGGCTTACATGATCAACGCGCTCTTGGGCATGGACCCCAAGAGCAACGTCGACTACCTCGACTGCGAAGACAAGATTGCGGCGGCGCACGACTTTCGCCAAGTGCAGGACGAGGTTGTCCCTCTGCTTCTGACCCTTATTCAACTCTTGCACTAGGTCGAAGAGTACATCTTCCAGCACGACCTCGGGTCGACGGACGTGCTGTTGATCTCGTGGAACGAGGCGTCGATCAGTCACATTGCGCAGGCGCTCAAGGTGATGACCAACGCGGTGCCGCACTGGTCCAGCATGAAGAGCATGGAGGCGATGACGCACGAGCAGCTGCTCGACGAGCTCATGGCGTACCTCTGCTTTGGCATCGAGCGCGTCGGCCGCGTCATGGTGATGCCCGAGACGCCCATGGAGTGGCTGCTCTTGGGGCAGCGCCTGCGCGACATCTCGTACGACCGCTTCATGCAGGACTTTGCGCGCTTCCCCAACGTCTTTCCGCTGGCCACGTTTACGCAGGTGCGCGCGTCGCACTACACGACGCTCCCGATGCTTCCGATGCCTCACGGCATGAAGAGCTTGTTTGAATGAGTTGGTGACGCCCCGTGCACGATGCCTGTGTACTGCAACGAGTAACCCTAATCCATGCTACGTTTCGCCTGCCATCAATGGTTGCCCGACGTGCATACATACCGTATCAGCGATGGACTCGTGCCGGTGGACGGCCGAGTCGCACGCGCTCAGTGGTGGTGGAGCTTTGGTGTCACAAAGTCTCTTTACATCTTCGTGTCTCGAGCCTTGCACGCTTCTACGACAGCACCGCAGTGGTTGAGTGGTAGACGCACATGTAACCACAAGTGGCTGTATTTATGGTTTGAGTACTCGTCTAGTTTGATCCATGGGAGTCGTAAAGCACTGTGCGTCATAAAAGACACTATAGAGTCCTTGTGGCGTCGAGAGCACCAGGTAGAGACAGTAGATGGCTCCCGGCACCAAGTTTGTAAACGTGTGTCGGGAAAGTCCAGGTAGCAGTAGCAGCTGCCAAACCCACGAGCTGGCCATAGCGTCCCACTGCCCGAGGCGCAAGACGACCGTCGGGGTGGTATGTTTGTCCTTTGGCAGCACCCACGTGACCTGCACGTCACGATGAGTGTTCATTTCCGATTTTCGATGTCGGGAGGGTGACGACCTTGGCGGCGGTGGGCGAAATATCACGAAGCGTAACACTGGCCCCCGGAATCGAGGACGGACGGTGCGTCGCTTTGGCATACGCGGCCGCAAAGCTCTCGTGGAGCGATCGCCGGGCCAGGCTGGACGGAAATTGTGCCGTCCATGTCCGGCAGTTGGCTTGATGCTAGTAGGCCACGCAACCTCGACATGACGAATCGATGGAGAATCAAGTACCCAGTGCAAGCTTCGCAAGAACCGCGGAAGAAGCTCGGGCGATGCGCTCAAGTCCATCATCGCGCACACGTAGTGGCGCAGGACGAGGCTCGTCTCCACGTCGGTCGGTCGGAGCCAGGACCCCATTGGCGCACTCACGACGTTGGCTTCAATGGTCTTGCGCCATGCGTGCTCCCGAAGCGGCGCTTGAGCGGCCTGCACAATCGCACGTCTTGCCGCCAAGCACGTTCGCTAGTCCCATATCGTTTACCACGAGGTGAGAGAGTGGTGTGACATACCAGACGCGTCCAGCGCTTGATGCAAGTCGCTACAACTGCGGCGCGGTACAGCAGAGCTTGGCGAGCTGCCGTGCACTTCGGCGCGAGGCGTGGGGGCTCTCCAAAGATCGCTTCCACGTCGCAAGGCGGCAAGTCACCACCAAGAAGTCGCTCGTGGCAGTCGAGTGTGAGTTCGCGCAGGTCGTAGCCCAAGGCGGCGTCGCGTAGCTGGACTTGCATCGCTGTATACATATCGACGCAGAGGGTGCGCGATGCAGTCCACGACGCCTGCATCGCATCGCAGTCGACGCCGTCGGGGTCGGGGTGGTGCAGGAGAAACACGGCTTGTTTGTTCTCGATCGAGCTCTAGTCGACAGCGTTGAGGACGCGCGACGGACCCATTTCGAATGGTGTACAAGGACATATTGCTGGCACTGGGAGGGGCCGGAAATGGCTTGTGCGTCGGCGCATTTGATTTCGAATCGATTGAGCACCAAGTTGTTTTCGGCGGCAATGTAATGTGCGCGCGCCCTACGCATCGACTTGAAACATTGACACTTTGAAAGAAAATACGATGCATATTCTTCCGAGAGCGGGTCGACCTTGGCCCACTCGTTGAGATCCATGCGCTTCAAATGCATGGCCTCGTGGAGCTCCGCGCGCAGCATGTTGACATCGCGCGCCCACGTCATGGACGCCTTTGCATTCAAGTAGAGCATCAAGTGCACGGTATCGAGCGAGCTGTACGGTGCAGACGTCATGTATGGAGCCGCGATCGCATCGGCTTGCTTTTGGCGAACCGCTTCGTACGCGGCTTCTTCGCGGCCGCACGCTGCCTCGGCGGCCTCGAGCAGCCACGTCGCCGCCTCCACCGTGTTGCACCGGTGCTGGACAAGCCAGTGGTCGGTCGCAAACGCCGCTGTTTGGTCCATATACTCGACCCAGCTCTTGCTCGACGCAGCGGCCAATGTCGTCTCGAGATGCGTGTAGGCAGCGAGTCGCCTGGCACTTCGTTTTGACGTGACGCGCGCTAGCGTCGTATCCAGAAATGCACAGCGAGCCTTCATGACCGCGGCAAGCGCTTCTTTGCGAACGGCTTCGTCTTGCGTCATCTACGGACATGTGGATTCGACGCATGGTTAGGGGTGGTAGATTGGCTACGTGCAATAGGTCGGATTCTTGTCGCAAGAGCCGTGCGAGGAGCCGTGCGCGGTTGGACGCGACGCAGTGCAATCGGGCTTGCTTTTGAACTTCGAGCCGCAACATCGTGGCTTGAATGAGATGGCTGTCGGCAAACTCAACCGTCACGTCTTTCTCCGTGACGACGCCATTGACGAAGAGCGCAACGTGGCACTCGATATCTTTTTGACGCTTGCGCTCGAGATGGACAATGGCTTCCAGCGCCGAGTAGAGCCAGTGCTGTGCCTTGGTGAGGGCGATGCACCCGCGCAGATGCGCCCACGTGGCTGACTCCCAATCGTGCCGTCGCAACGCCGCATTGTGCGCACAGCGGGCCAGTTGAGAGGTTAAGAGATCGCGATCGGACGCAAGGGCGACCCGCTCCGTGTCCGACGCCGTCGCTTTGGCAAACCCGTCGGCAAAGCACTCGGCCTGGAACGCCGCAAGGGCGTCCCAGATCGGTTTGGTGTCCTTGAGGTTTTCTTGCCGCGCATACGCCTCCAGATCGCTCTCGACGGCCGCGAGATGCCGCAGCTGCCGCATTGCGAGCACCAAGTGCTGTCCGACATGAGCGTTCGCGTCTTCTTGGTACTGGAGCCGGCGGAGCTGGTGGCGACAGCTGCCTTCGCTCTCCAGTGCCGCGCGATAGGCCTTTTCCGCATCGACGCGAGGTGTTGTGACGGCTACCACCTCACGGATGACAGCTTGGAGCTGCGACGACGCCAACTCGACAAGTTGATGGCATTGGGTGTGCCACGCCGCATGGCAAGCGGCTACATACGTCTGCACCAAGGTGTTATAGGTTGTACGGAAGGATGGTGGCGACGCACTTGATAAAAAGATGCAACACATCGCCGATGCCGGTGCCGGAGCGTCCGCGCCGTGATCTCGACTCGGATGCGCTCGTGCATACTCGCCAGACTTCGCCATGCATCGGCCGGTCGACCGTTGTCCTTCTCGCACCACACAACGTCACCCAAGAGCGCACTCATTGCCGGTACTTCGCCTGTAGACAACATGTCCACACACGACGACACGGCAAAGACGTCTGCAAAGTGCCGGGTCACGTCATCGACGTGACCGCAAAACGCTTGAATCTAAAAATAGACGTGGACATGTCACGATGAGTCGCGATCGAACGGTCTAGTTGAACAAGTGTACTGCATGCAGCGCATGGGCTTCTCGGAAGAGGGTCTGAAGGCTCTGGAGGGTGCTGGTTTCCCAGCCAACGATGTCGTTCATCGCTCGCTGCAGAGCATCCAAGTCGAGCATCGGGCTCCTCGCAGACGAGAGCGCAAACGTCTGAATATTACAGCGGCCGTAGAGATGCTCGGCCTCCACAGGAATCGACGCGACGTACGCAGCTTCCATCGCGTCAATTTCGCCTAGCACACTTGTCACCGTCTCGGCCATCGACGCCTCGATCGCCTACGCGTCGCGTCTTAGCTTCGCGCCTCGTCGCAGCCTACCGTGTCCAGCGCAGTGAGCGATGTGTACAGATATTTGTCGGCTTCGAGTCCAGCATTCGGAGGGTCAAATCGGTCACAGTCTCGAGGTACACGGGCATGAGTTGGTGCAAGTGCGGAATGCCGACGCGGTATCGCTGCAACCCGTCGCCGTCGTCCAACGTACCATCGCCTACCATGTGAACGACACGGCTTTCGAGATCGCCGGCAACTCCGGCCAGTTGGAGTGCCGCACTTGTGATCCGTGCCGAAATCGCAGCAATCTGAGTCGAGAGACGATGTGTGTGCACATGGTACTCGACAAAGACTTCGGTCGCCGTCTCGTTCCGGGCAACGCCAGCGGCGGTGACGCGCTCTCGCGCCGCCTCGAACGCCGCCGTGTCCGCACCAAACCGATCACAGAGATGGGTGCAGTAGCTGCTTATGGCGTCCGTGCGGGCTTGGGATGCCGCGGCGTGCCTACAATGTTCAGGAATTCAGACCATTTTCCTTTCTCGCAAAACGCACAGCTCCGTGGCGCTGCCCACCGCGCGCTCGGCGTAGAAGCGGCGCAGCTGCGGCAGCGTCGACGTCGTTGCCTCCGTTTTCCACACAAGCGGCGAGACGGAGGCGACGCAGCGCGCGCTCTCCAAGGTGTCGGCCACCTGCTTGGCGAACGCCACGTAATTCGATTTCGAGCGTTGGAAAAAGAACGAGCAGTGGTAACATGGGCTGCGTAAAAGCTGCCGGACATCGTCGATAGCGCCACATAGCTCGCACTCAAAGTCGGTCGTGTTCAGAAAAACCGAGTTGGCCGCCGCCGGAAGGTGCTGCAGCAAGTGCCGTCGGTTGGCATCCCACGCCGTGTACGGGACATGTGGCCACCGCGCTTGGACACTCGCTGCATCGAGATACCATGCGTCCAGCTGGACGTGCACGATCGGACGACCGCTGCTCACATACGACACCACTATGGTGGTTGCGATGATATGCTTCGACTAACGCAGCACGGCAATGCTACCTTCGTCGACGGCGTCGCGCCGCGTGCACAGGGCGTTGGATGTGACGACAAGCACGCGCGCGGCGTGGGCCTTGGCGTAGCATTGGCGGGCTGCGTCGCTCACAGCCACGTCGGCATCCTACGCAAAACAGCAATAGGAGAGTGCGTCACACCACGTGGTTGCACCGGCGTCTCAGGTGCGATCGCAACGGACAAGAGCTGTTCGTCGGCCCACCAAATCGGGTAGACGTGGCTCTGCACGACGGGACAGAGCGGCACGAGTGTACACTCGTCGCGGTCGTTTCGGAGGCTAAACAAGAGCGCTTGGACGGCGTTACGGACGCCACGCGACTCGCACGGCGCGACAAGCAGCGTCGCAAACGGGATTAGCGCGCTCGGTATGGGTCGGTCCTTAAGAAGCTCGGCAAACCGCGCTTGGCCCAACGCAAGGCGGGACCGGAGAAAAGCTACGTACTCGTCCTCAAGGGCCTACATCCATCCTTGAGCAAGCGGCTATCTATATTGAGTGTACCGGCTGAAGGGCCCGCAAGGCCGACGGGTCGAGGGCCCGCCGTGCATCTAGCTGGGCTTGGAGTCGGGGATCGCACTGCGAATGGCGTCGGCTTGGCTGTCCATGTGCTTCCATTTCGACGACGTCATGCGTGTGAGGAGGACATCCTTGCTGCCCCGTACATGGGTGCGTGTCTCGGTGAACACAGGGAGGCGCGTCATTTGCGTCTCGTGGAGGCGCGTCACGAAGCGTCCGAGCACACTGCAGATCTCGTCGTCGGTAATGAAGACGGGCCGGCGCTTCAGATCGTCTTCGACTTGGCGCAAGTTGCGAAGACTCTCGTCGAGCTTGGCGTCGGCGTCGGCCGCGTTGCCCTTTGCAGTGAGCAGTGCAATGGACTCAACCCACTCGATATTCTTGGGCTCCTTAGTCGTCGAACTCTTCCCTATGCAGCACTCTTACTGCTAATGTTGTAGTAGAATCGTGGTTGATGTAGTACGGGCAGGGGGGCTGGACGAACGACCACTCGCCTCCATGTCAACTTGGTGGCTGCTCCCTCGCTTGGGCGATGGCTTTGGCGCCAAAGCGGCGGCCAGCAGCGATACTGTCTCGTCGATCACGAGCATAACGTCTTTTCGCTGCTCGACGGCGGTCACGTCATCATGCATTGCTTGCAAGCTCGCCTGCTCTGTTTCCTTTTGCGCGCGTAGTTGCTCAAATGACTTTTGGACCTCGGCCACGTCCGTGACGGTCCGATGGGCCAAGTACGTCCGCCGTTGCTCGTAGAGCCGCGCTGCCTGCGCCGCTTCGGCGCGGACGCGCCCTACGAGCTTGCAAGACGGCTCGTCTCGGAGACACCGCTGCAGAGCATGGTAATGTGGTCTAAATTGGTCACTTTGTAAAATGAATGCATCGCAGTGTACGTACAAGGCGAGCGACGACCGAAAGAGGAGCAGTGAGCCTGCTTGCACGCTCACGACGCGCACATGGAACGACTCGTCGGCAAGGCGATCGCTCCACTGCCACTGACCACCGAGAAGCAGCACGTCCGAGTCACAGAAGAGCCCGAGATCCCACTGCATTGTGTGTCCGTCAGAGGTCACCGTGTGGCTCGCCACCGTCGTGTCGTGCTTGGGATCCAATGCAACCTGGACAGCGCCCGTGGTAGTGATCGTCAGTGTGACGTTCTAGGCGACAAGATGACCAAAGACATACTCGCAGTCGATTGTCATGGTGACAGACCTTGGCGAGCACATGCGTGACGCGGTGCGCCACGTCGGCCAAGATGAACTCCAAGTCGGTGCTGGCGGCAGCATACACGACAAACTGCAGCGCGTGGCGAAGCAGCGGTGCCACCGCGGCTGGTGGTGGTGCGAGGCTTAAAAAGTGCAGCATGCACCAGCTCTGCAGTGGGCGGTAGACATCATAGAGCTCGTCGGCAGCATCTGCCGGGCGCTCGGAAAGGATGAGAAGTGCGCCAAAGCTCAGTGCGCTCGGGTGCTCCTACATCTCGTCTTGTTTTCCATCGGAAGGCGACGTTCAGAAGGCACCTTGTATGTATCTACGAGCAAATGCAGCGAGGCATCGACGACCGGCGCCAAGGGCAACGGCGCGCCGGGCGCTGGCTTTTGTAGCACATCGATCACGTGCTTGATGGCTTCTCGCTAGGGCAGCGTTTTTGCTGATGAAATGCCGCTTTCAGGCAGAGAAAGAAGGTGCGTACTTGGCCAAGCGGGTCCATGCGCCGCCACGCAAGCAGGGTTGGTGTCGGGCGACGTGTTGTGAGAAGACACAAGTCCGTGTGGACAGGAAGCGCTCCGATAAACTAGACAAATCCATCCCGATGGCTCTCCCTTTCTACATACTGTTCGTACCGTCGTCAGCGCCGTCGTGTAGCGTGTCGCATCCTGCGCGCAGGTGGCTGTCGCATCCAGGACCACGGCGACGTGGGCCAAAAGGCGGCGGCTACTGCTATCGCGGTGCGGTGCTACCTGCACCACGAAATTGTCGACGCCGTCCGAAGAGTCGTCGACCGGTGCACTGTGCAGCGTGAGCTCAAGATGCGGGTGGGCATCAAGCTGCAGAGGATGCAACGGCACGTAGCGCAGTATGGGTTCAAATCCGACGAGCACCAAGTCGCGTCCGCGGCCGCTCAAGTCGAATTGGACTCTGCGCATGTTGCCGTCATTGAGACGCCAGTAGGCACCGAGCTGGGCCAAGCTCGGGTGGTCAGGCGACACCTCGCGGTGGCACCACCTATTATCAATGTTGTCACATCCACAACGCTCATCAAACACAGACTGCTGGAGGACGTCGAGGGCGAGCGTCGTCGTGGTCCAGAGCCGCACTTCGCCTAGCACAAGCGACGATCGCGCTTGCGGCGGTGACCAAGCGAGGCGAATGCAACCATCGTGCAAGATAGGGTCGACGCGTTCGCCCAGCGACGTGGGCTCGAGCGGCTGCGCAACGCCTTCGCAGAAGAGGACCGGCGCCGCAGCGCAAAAGACGGCAATCCAGTGCTGCACAACGTTCGCGACTGCGCAAGGCGACGTCGTCATCCACGTGCGCTCGTTGCAGAGGAGCAGCGCATGGCCCGTCGGTAGGACGCCAAGGCCGCTGGTGGCGTGGTGGAAGAGCCAGACGAGACTCGATGGGGCGAGCGGCGGCCGCACGATGCACTCGAACGTGCCGACGCAGGGCGATACCGCTTGTGCCGAGACGAGCGACGCATTGGGTGGCACCTCGAGCGCGTTGGCTTGCTCCATACAAAGGCGTTTCGCTCAAGATCCGCCTCCACACTTGAACTTGAACAGTCCATGTCGGCGCTGCTATGGCGCTTACGTACTGCTGTGTTGATGAACGCGAACCAATGTCATCTCGATCCATGGCTGCGAGAGTCGATTTATTCGTGGTATAGCCACAGGCGCTGCTCGGAGCACGACAGAACCTCCCAACCCAACGTGAGCGCGTCGGTGCAAAGCACTCGATGGAATTCGCCTGGAGGCTGTACGCGGCACGTTCACAGCGCAGAGACGGCGGCCCACCACGATGAATGAGCACCCCACGCAATGGTGTGTGTCTCTCGTGTTGCGCTCGCCGGTTCAAGTCCCGTCGCGACCAGGAGATCGTTTCAATCGCATCGACTCGCACGAGATGCTTGTGTCACGCGCGATTGTATTAGCGTCGTTATTTGTGCGGCGCAGCGAGCACGAGCCGCTTGAAGAACTCGACGTCGCGCGACTCGAGCAGCGGGTGCTCGCGCATGAATTTCTTGCGCATTTGATCGCGCGCATCGGTCTCTTGCATTGCAATGTAGGCTTCGCCGAGGCGGACCGCCGCGACCTTCTTCATGTCGCGCGGCTTGGGCAGCGTGCCGTCCTGAATGAGGTTCTTGAGGTCGTCGAGGGCGGCTGGCAGCTCTTTCTTGGCCCACGCTTTGCCATCTTTGGTGTCGAGCCACAGCTGCGCGCGCCCGACAGCTTCTTTACCCGCATCGTCGAGCAATTTCGCTTCGAGCGCATTGCGCGCGCTCTCGGCGGCCTCGTGGCAGCTGCGCCAGAGCCCGTCCGCGCTATCAAGAGATGCATCTCAGTCGTCCAGTTCATTCTTCTCGGGCTCCAGTACCGGGAGGCGCACACGCGCGCAGTGTCGAGGGCATACACGACCTCCTCGTTGCGCTTGCTCTTGCGTTCGGCTTCTTGGTGCAATCGGATCTTCTTGCCATATTGGATCTTGAGCCGAATGTTGCATTCACGGTAGACGTGCCGAAGCAGGTCGTACACTTCCGTCGCTTGCATCGACGGCTTGCGCTGGAGCATGCGCTTGGCTATGTCCAGCGGCTACACCAAAAGCTACGGCGTCGCCGAGAGAGGTTCCAAATGCACCTTCTCGTGCTTGTAGTTGTCGGCGATGACGGCAAAGACGGCGGCGTCCGTCTCCTTGACGAGGTACCGGACGATGGGCAAGCTCGAGACGCGCGCACTCCAATGCAGCGCGTTGTCACCGTGCGCATCTTGGTGCTCGAGCGTCGCTCCATACAAGACGAGGAGCTTGATGATCTTGAGCTTGTCATTGAGATGCCCCTAACCCGAATGAACCGACGAAAATGGCAAAAAATCGACGAAAATGGTAAAAAATCAACCACGTTGATGGCGCACCTTGTATGACCGGCAGGCTTCAAGCAGCGGCGTGCAGCGGCTGTACGCCGAGTCGATGCAGTTGACAAAGAGCCGCAGCGCCTCGAGGCCTTTCGTCGCTTGGACAAACATGGTCGCGTACATGACGATGTTGACGTGGCCGTGCCAGCACGCGTAATGGAGGATCGTGCGCCCGCCGTCGGCTTCGTGGTGGCGAAACACGTCCCGTTTCTCAACTTCGAGGAGGCGCCGGAGCTCCGACACATTGCCCGTGGACGCAGCTTCCCAGATCGTAGCGCAGGATGGCGGCGCGGGAACGCTGGGCTTGGGAATCGTCTTGCGCCGGGTCGTTGCACTTTTTGGCGTCGGCTCGCGCTCCTTCCAGAATGCTTGGCTTGTCTCCATGCGCGCAAGTGCCTTCTTGAGCCACGGCGCGTGGCGAGGCTGTGTTTCGGTGATGGACGCAAAGACGGCCGGCGACAGCCTCTTGGGCAAGGGCGACGCGGCCTCGTGGTGGATGTGCTCGGCCGATGAGAGCTGGCGGTGTAAGTGCAGTGCGCGGATCTCCTTGGACGTCACTGCGTTGTTGCCATCGGCGTCGGCGAGCTGCAGCGACTGGAACGATAGCGTCCGTGTCGAGTCCATCCGCCGCGTCCTTTCGATGCGAATGGATCTGATCTCGCTTAGGATGCCACGTGTTAACGCCCGCTTGTCCATATAGGTTAAATACGGGGTTAAAAGACCAAGAATTGCGTTAAACGCCCCGCTGGCTGCGATGTGACGCAATGACGCCGTGGGAACAGGCCGTGGGCCTCGTCAATCATAGTGTGTGTGTGTCGATAGGAATGCACAGACCTGCAGCAAACCGTCGCGACGACGACAGAGACGTATGCAAGTTGCCCGGACGGTAAATAGGTTTAATGTTTAACCTGGTTGAGCTGCAACCGGATGCTTTGCCAACCGCATTGCGTTTGGCTTGCGGTCGATCGATGATGGCGTCGGAAGCCGAGATTGACGCGACCTTCAATGCTGCTGTCCTGCGCATGACGCAGGCCGAGGCCTCCAAGCGTCATGAAGCCGTCGTGCACCAGCATGCGATGCAGCTCTACGGGCTGCTGCAGCAAGCCACGAAAGGCGACAACGACACCGACCGACCGCGTACCCGCCGAGGACGCTGTCGCCTGACGACCTCACGTTTTACGACGTAGGCTGCCCCATCAACAACACGGGCAAAGCGAAATGGTATACTGTCAGCCTGGCAACGCGGCGAGCGCTCATGCCAGCTGGTAGGGATGCGTGGACGGCGCGCTCGGGCATGGCGTCCGAGGCGGCCAAGCAAGAGTACACACGCCTTGTCGCGTCCATCCTGCCGCCGACCGACAGCAGCGCGCAGGTGCGTTGTCGAGTGACCATTATCTATCGATCTTCACGCAGCGACAAACCTCAGGAAACGACGGCGCGCGGGCTGCAGTTGAAGCGCTGGACGCCGTCGCAGGAGCAGGCGCAGCAAACGATCTTCCTCCATCTGCTCGTGTACGTGGGCGTGGCCATGTTTGCAATCCATGTCGTCGTCGTGCTCGCGCAGCACATCAATGCGGTCTGCGCCGTCAATGACAGCGTGCTCTGTGCGGCGTGGCATCAGTCCTACTGGCTGCGTCTCGGCGGGAGCTGGATCAGCGTCGGTCTTGCAGTCGGCACGCTCCTCCAAACCCACGTATGCGCTTGCAGCAGTGGAGTGGATCATGATGGCCTTTTCTCTTGTTGATAGGTCGTTCAGCTCCTCTCTGTCTTGTGACGGTCCCACGCGTCCACGGCCGTGGCAGTCGTCGGGACGCTGCAACGATGCTCGTCGAGTCGTGCCCGCACCTCGCCATGGTCAAGAAGTACAACCTCTCCATGGGCAAGGTGGGCTCCGCGACCGAAGAGCACCCTGTCATGACGTTCGTGCCGGATGCATCGTCGACGCCATTTCCGCCCTACGACTCGCCGATCGAACACCCTTTTGAACAGGTCTGGAGCGTCGATTTCCTGCATGTGGCGCCTCAGGCGAGTAGGCTGCGGACATGCACTTTCGGCGCTTCAAGGAGCCTTTTCCGGGTTGGTAGCGGTCGAGGAATGGGCTAGTGACAATATTGTCAAGTAGATCCGTTCGAGCCGGCGCTTGTGGGCATCGATACCACGATTGACGTTGAGTTGACCAAGTGGAACTGCGTGTACAAGCAGCGCAAGCTCAAGCTCAAGTACACCGTTGCCTCGATCGTCATCGAGGATGCGACGCTGTCTAGGAACACGGCGCCGGGCTTCATCAAGCGCTTTGCGGGCGACGAGTTCATCTTCTTCATCGAAGAGTCGCTCTGGGACAAGGCCAACGACGTACGACGACGTGCCATTATGGCTTGGTCTCATGCCGCGTGCTACACTAGGTGCTCTACGTGCGCGGCTACAACGAGAGCTTCGCTGACCTCGCGCTCGTCCGCAGCTTTGCGATCTACGCCGCGCATCCCGAGAACGACGGCTGGTATCCCGTCCTGCTTCTAGATGCATAGGAAGCGAGTATGGGGATGTAGGTCCTCGGTCATGCAGACGGGCTCGGTGCAGATGAGCAACAAGTTTGGCTTCCTTCGCTCGACCGTCGAGGGGTTCGTCAAGGAGAGCTACGCCAAGACGAGCACGAAGGCGCTTGCGTACCTCAAGGTGCGCCTCGTCGAAGAGCGCGCCGAAGCCGAGGTGGCGACGAATATGCCGTAGACTGGACTAGACGCCGCGTGTCTTTTATAGTAATAAATGGGACATGTAGTACGTATTCCACTCTAGAAACGGGATCGCTCACGAGGCAGTGGCGCGACCGCGGCCGACTGCCGGAGCTCGAGCTTGTGCTGGAGCGCGCCCCACTCGCGCGAGACGTTGCACACAAGGTACAAAAGGATCTGGCCCATCGTGCTCAAGCTTGTCGTGAGCAGCAGTCCGTCGAGGACGAGCGTCGTCGGCGCGGTCGCCGGGCGCAGTGTGTGGAAGAAGACCATGGCCAAGCAGGCCAGCGCAAGGTGGAGTGCGACGAACGCTGGCTGGCGCACGCCCGTCGGATTGACCCACGTCAAGGCAAACAACGCCGGGCGCGGTGGTGGCGACAGCGTGGACGGTGGCAGGCGGGCGCGGCAGATCGGGCACGTGTGCTGGCGCCGCCGGACCCACTCGGCAATGCACGCGTAGCAGTAGGCGTGGCCGCACGGCGACGTCCACGCGGCCGTCGCGGGCTCGAGGCAGATCGGGCACGAGAGCATCGAGTCGAAAACCAACTTTGAGCCGTTGGCAAGGTTGACACGAGCGTTTTTGATTCGATATAACGGACCGTGCACGCGCGCTCACCGCGAGCGAGGCCAAGGACGACGACGAGGCGACGTCATCGGCAGCAGCGACGCTATGAGCCGTCACGGGCAGCGGCGATGCGAGCAGGCGCCGGACGCACGCTCGAGCGATCTTTGGCCTGTGACAGAGATAGTGTCCGGATGCGATCCGGCGCAGAAAGGCCATGTACGGTGCAATGTACGCTTCCAGCAAAAATCTGATGATGGACTCGGACCTGCTGCCTGTCTGCCGCAACGCTGTCGCTGAGGCGGCTTGTCGCGAGGTGGGTCCGAGGCGAAAGCGCACTGCGTGCAGAGCCTCACGATGCATCACTTCAACACCAAGCGAGATTGCACTTGAACGACTCATCGCTTCTTCCGCTCTAGCACACATCTTGATAAGCGACATCATAAGAAGCGAAGCTCGACATAGAGCGAGCTAGGGCCGAGCCCTCGTGGTGTGTACAGAGCCAGAGGTCGCTGTCTTGTCGAGGCCAGCGAGCCCACTAGCCTCTCTGCCTTTGCACGCACCGACAGACAGCTCTGCGTCATCCTAGCAACCTACGCCCAGCATTCATGGACGTCTACTAGAAGGATAGGTCATCTATCGTAGTCCATCTTAGTCCATCTTAGTCGACCTTGGTTGGTCCATCGAGTTGCGGCGTCGGCAAGGAACCGATGTGAACCGGATAACGGCTCGTACACCTGTCGTACGGTACGGTCCGGTGCGTCATGGGACGAACAAAGTGTTCAGAGCTGCCGACGCCGCAGCGGACGGCCTCATGGCGGGCGCTAGAGGACCATGGACGCGCAGGAAGTCGACTCGTATGACCACCTCTTCAAGCTGCTGCTTGTGGGCGACGCTGGCGTGGGCAAGAGCAGGTCGGCAACCTCGCACGCGATGGGGTCTCATGCCTCCGTCTTAGCATGCTCTTGCGCTTCACGGACGACACGTTCGATGACCATCTCCAGAGCACGATCGGTACGTCCATGCAAGAAGCGCGATGCATGCCATGAGGCGGTGTAGGCGTCGACTTCAAGGTCAAGATGATGCAAGTCGACGGGAAGCGCATCAAGATGACGATCTGGGACACGGCGGGCCAAGAACGCTTCCGCACGCTCACGAGCTCGTACTACCGGGGCGCGCAGGGCATCATCTTGGGTACGGTATCGTGTGTGCGTGGAGGCCTTTATCGTGCTGCAGTGTACGACGTGGCCCGCAAGGAAACGTTCGAGAACCTCGGGACGTGGCTGCAAGAGGTCGAGGTGTACAGCCCGGCCAACGGCCGCGACGTCGTCAAGCTTCTCGTTGGCAACAAGATCGACAAGGTATTCGCGACGTCGTCTACCGTGCGCTTCACAGCGCGTAGGAGCGTGTCGTGTCGCGGCAGGAAGGCGAGGCGTGGGCTCGCTCCAAGGGCATGCTTTTTGTCGAGAGCAGCGCCAAGACCAAGATTGGCATCCAGCAAGTCTTTAACGAAGTCGTCCAGAAGGTACGACGACCCCTGTCCTCCTCGTGCACAGCCTGAATGCATGGTCGATGCAGATCCTCGACAACCCGGCGCTCTTGGCCAACACGGCGCCGCGCAGCCGTGCGAAGAAGGTCAACCTCTCGGCCGACAAGTACGCGCCACATGCCAACGCGGGCGGCGGCTGCTGCTAAGTCGCCGCTGCACAGGATGGTCCGATTTCTTACATTTACTATTACGACTACAAACACGGTCCGATCGCCTCAGTCTTCAAACTCCGAGTACGTCGACTCGACGCTGCCCTGTCGCTGCATCGCGCATCGCGGATCGCTACCGTTGACGGACGCCACAGAGTCGTCGTCGTCGTCGTTGCTGCGGGCGTCGAGAAGGTCCATTAAGTTAGAGGGGCTCGTATCGAGCAACGCCAAGTCGCTCGTGTTGAAGATGTCGGTCAAGTCGCTGTGGCTCAAGAGCGGGATTACAGCGTCGTCCGACGAGCTGCTCTTGTCCTCGTCCGCATCCAACGTCGACCACGACGCACTCGAGACCACGGTGTCCGCAGCCGTCATCGCAGCGCGCAGGGCCGTGCGCCACGCGTCAATTGTGGCGTCGCCGTCCGCGGCCAAGACAACCTGCCGGCCGGACGAGAGCGTCACCTCGGCGCTCCACGACGCGTCGTCGCTGACGTGCATGACGTCTCCTTGCATCACGCCGGCTGTCATCTGGTCCGAGTCGTAGATGCAAAGCGTCGGGCCCTCGAGGACCGCGAACCGCCGAGTCCACGCAACGCCATCGAGGACAAGCACATGGCCGGTGACGACTGCCAGCGCCGACAACCACAGCTCTCGATCGCGCGCCGAGTTGGCGGCGACGACGAGGACCCGTCCGGACGCCAATGCAATGTCGATGGCAAACGCCCGCGCTGTCCCTGGCGTCGCAGCCGTCACGACGCCGTCGCCCAGCGGCGCACTGTCGAGCGACTTGCGGTACACAAGGGACCGTCCGTGGAGGGTGAAGAAGCGCCGCTTCCACGACTTGACGCCGCTGCCTTCTTTTTGCAGCCAGCCCATGTGGCTGCCGTCCACGCACTGCATTGGCACGTCGGCAGCAATGTCTTCCAGCACGGCTAGCCACGTGTCGGCCTCGGCTTGCGTGCTTCCTGCCACGGCGAGCCGCCGGCCACTCGCCAAGTGAATGTACAGCGCGAACGGCCGCTTCGTGTTGACGCACACGTCGACGACGTGGCCGAATCCCTTTGGCGGCGCGCCGTCGGCGTCGCTGTACGAGAGCTGGTTGCTCACGCCGTCAATGCTAAAGTAGCGCTTCCGCCACGCCTTGACCGTCCGGCCTTTCTTGAGGAGGTACCCGCAAAGGCGCGGCTTGGGCAGTGTGCGCACGCAGGCCGTAAAGGCCGCGTGCCACCGCGCGAGCGCGTCGTTGGTTTCTGCCGCGACGCGCAAGACGCGGTCGTTGGCGTCGAGCTGCAGCAGCATCCCGAGCGGCTTGTGCATGTCGAGCGAGACGCCACACACGCGGCCTTCGCCCTTGGGGTTCTCGCCTTGTTTGGCAAAGTACGCGACGTGGTCGCCTGTCAAGACAAAGAACCGGCGCTTCCAATTGCGCACGCGCTGGCCTTCCTTGTAGAGCCAGCCGCGCTGAATTGTCGTCCCGCCGCCATCGACGACACAGACGACCGGCGCGCCGACGTGCGTATCTCGACGCACGACAAGCGACGCTCGGTCTCTGTCAACGAGCTTCGGAGCACGAGCGATCCGCGCGCGTCGGCGAGAGAGGAGCGAGACGAGGCAATCGAGGACGCCCGCACATCGAGGAGCGACGGTCTCGCATTGGCGCCGCACGCGGCCTGGAGCGCCGTGAAGCACTCGTCCAAGTCGGTGGCGCTGAGCGTATACATCTTCATCTGTCGGCCCTTGACGTCGTGGAGCACGAGGCCGTTCTTCAAGCCAAAGTTTTGCGTCACGTCGACGAGCACGAGGCTGCCTTTCTCGCGCGGGTTCGGCTCGTGCACGCTGCGGTCATAGTACGTGACGTGGCGGCCCTGCACGACTAAGAACCGCTTTTTCCAGGACTTGATGAGCGCGCCCTGCTTGAAGACAAAGCCGCTCCAGTCGCCGACCATCGCGCTCGTTCGCTCGGTTCGTCGGTCGTTGGGTTGTGCTTGTCTCTGTGGACGCTTGCAATTTTTTCATTTTTACTCATTTTTCACAAATTAGAAAGGGCAATTTGAAAATCCAATCCGAAGTCAACGGCAATCTCGCCGTGACAACCATGTGACACAGCAAGAGCTCCAGCAAGCATTCCCATCGAGCCCATCGCTGGCCCCGACCGACTATTAGCGTCGCCCACTACAGTAGACGACGATACTACATGCGCGACAAGGAGGAGGACGATGATGACATGTAGTCGAATCCTTATCGTATGACGTCGGACGTGAACGCCGGCTTGAGAGCGCAGTGTCCTCGAGCTACTTGGCCAAACGACGGTCCTTGGTGAGGAAGGCGCCAAAGTGGAGGGCGCCAAAGTAGTCTTCCGAGACGAGGTAGAGGGGCAGCATGACAAAGACTTGGGCGATGAGCATCCCAACAATGTTTTCCCAGCAGCTATGGAGTACATACGTAGAATGCGCAGGAATAAGAGGGCAGGTCGTACCTATGGAACGAGTACGCGGTGTGAAAGATGGCGTACACCGAGAGCATGAGCACGAAGAGCAGCCAGAGCGAGAGCACGTGTTTTGAACGCGCTCACGGCCCGATCCCGCTGCAACACCTTCCACTCAAAGCACGACGTCGCAATAAAGTGCGTCATGTAGAGTACGATGTGGTCCGCGTGGTCAAAGCTGTCGATACAGCGCTTGTTGCGGCGCAGCGGCGCGTACCAGCACGAGGTGGCAGGCGGGAAGAGCGCCTTCTCGACAAGGTTGAAGGCGCCGTAGAGCACCAATGTGCGGTAGATCATGAGCGAAAAGTACAGACCCAGTCGGTTGTAAATGGCCGACATGTGGCGCGACGTGACGTTGGGCAGGAACATGGTCAAGCCAAAGTTGACAAGGGCCGCAACGAGCGGGAGGATCCACGCGCCCTACATCGCATTGCGTGCGACGGCTGACAATGACGTAGTGATACAGCGTACCTGGCCATGGGTGAGCTCGTGCAGCTCGCTCATACCGGCGTAGCATGGCGCGTGGCTCGATTCGTCGCAGCACACGGCCTTGCTGTCGGGGTTGCGGACGTCAAGCCAGTTGGACGAGCATCTACACGCGCTTAGCCGGGGTGCATGGCGCTTCTCGGACGTACGGGCCAGACACGCGCGTGTACTTCCACGGGCTCATGACGCTGCAGTAGAGGACGACGACGGCAACGACGACGTTGGCCGCCACGAACGGGTCGCTCCATTGGGGCATGCTGCTGCAAAATGCCACCGCAACCGATTATGGGCAATTCCCTCACATCTCGGAATTTTGACGTGGCACATGCCACATGAAACGCACCCCATTGGGTTTAACGTTAACTGTCGTGCCACCGAGCGACCGCTACGAGCTCTTCTTTTGTTTGAGCGCCCTCCAGCAGGCGTCTGTGATGGGCGTAAATGGGCAGTCGGTGGTCCTCCAAATCCTGCGTGACGGCCCACCGCATGTGCAATGTGAACCTGCAAAGTGGTGACGTGGCGTCCGGATGAAGCTCGACGAACATGCCGAAACTAAATAGGCTGCCGAATTTAATTTCCCGCCCGTTGGCTTGGATCTGCTGACGTAAAGCATGTTTGGTATCCTAGCGGCCAAGTCCGAGGCGGGGCTGCGCGACGACCTGGCTGCGTCTTGCCGCCTCTTTGCCTCGCACGCGTGGGCCAACTTTCTGCTTCATGGCCAATTCCTCTCACTCCGGCTGCCGGCAGCGAGCGCATCGGTCGTCGCCTTCTTGATCAACCCGCCTGGAATGCTCCTCGCCGACGTCTGTGCGAGCGACCTTGTCCGCATCGACGTCTTGCGCTTGCCCGATGGCCAAATCGACGTGCGCGGCCTGCCGAGCAGCGACAATGTACAGGCCATCGAGCTCCACGTGCATTTGCATCTGACGCACGCCGCGTCGCCGGAGCTCCAGTGCTTCTTCCAAGCGCAGACGGTACCTTGTGCTGCGGTCGCGGCCATGAGCTGCGGTCTCTTGCCCATCTGCCAAGCAAGCTGCTTTGCGCTCCAGGGCGGCGCCATCCGATGGACGGTCGTCGACGCGGCGCGCTGCCCGGTCAGCGCTGTTCACAAGGTTGTGCTGTCGCACGCGTTTGGGACGATCACCGCCGGGCGGGCCGTGGCCGAGGCCTTCCACTACATGTTCTACACAGCGAATGCATGCGAGATGCAAGTCGGTGCCGCCGCCGCGGGCCTCCGCCACCTCTCGTTCCCGCCTACGGACATTGCCATCACGCACTTTGCGGTGACGATGGAGCGCTTCCAGCAGCAAGGGCTCGGCCACGCCATTTTTGAGGCGCTGCGACGCAGCCTGCCACCAAGCTACAAGCTGTAAATTAACATGCTTAGCAACTGCCGTTGGAAGAGAAATGTGGCCATGACGATCGCATCATGGCTCGGTCCGAGAATTCAGAGACGACAAGCGAGTGTAGATGTGAATGACGCTTGGCTTTTGGATCCGCTTGGCACCGACAAAGTCGAACGCGCTGTCGGGCAAGGGCTTGGCGTGCGCGAGCTGGTAAGGCGCCGAGGTTGCCAGCACCTCAAGAACGCGCGCATTGTACGCAGGCTTGTGGCAGCGCTCGGGCAAGATGAATGCGATCGCGGTGGCGCGCCACTCGAGCGCGCAGTGCCGCAGAAACGCCAGCACAAGATCGTCGTCCGCGTCCGTGTCTTTGGCCGAGAACGGCGGGTTTCCGACGGCAAGGACGCGGGCCGACGCTGGGAGATGGGTCGCGGAACGGAGAAAGTCGCCGACCGATACAATGTCGCCCAGGCCCAGCGATGCTGCTTGCTGCGAGGCACTGGCCGCCACGAGAGGGTCGATCTCGAACGCCCGAACGTCCTTGCCGCCGACCCGCTGAATGGAGGAGAAGAAGCGGCCGTCGCCGCACGATGGCTCCAAGAAGACGCTCGCCGAGAGCTCGGTGGGCGTAAACAGCGCTTCGAGGCCCGCCATGGCTTGGGCTATCGACGACGCCGACGAGAAGAACTGCCCGTGGTCCTTCGCGGCCTTTTGGGCGAGCAGCCGCGCCGACGTGGCTGCCGTGCGCTCGGCGTACGCAGCTTCGTCCAAGAACGCGTGGGCCTCGTTCGCAGGTAGCTGCTTCAGAAGAGTTGCAAGCCACTTGTTGCAGACCGAGAGCGCTTTTGCGAGCTCGGGCTTCTTGCCAACGGCGACGTCGTTGAGCGACCAGGACGATGCGAGGAGCTTCTTCAGGCGGCGCATTGGGAGGCGCTCATGGGCAGATCCTTTGAGCAAGCGGTGCAGCGTCCGGTCGATGTGCTGGATGTCGGGCAGCGTCCGCGTCAGCAGCGCCGAGTCCTCGCCGTCGCGGTGGCATAGCGTCAAGCGGCCTGACGCCAGGTCATACCCCTCAAACGTCACGGCCATGCCAACCGATGCCATTGGCTAATACACAGCGCTCGCCGATTGGTCAATGTTTCCCGCGCTTCTTCCAGGGCCCAGGCGTAGCCGACCAACGCCATTTGTATGTGCGTCTTCCTGGCTGTATGTGAACGATGTGATAGAAAGCGACGACCATGCCACCAAGAAGGTTCGAGTACTTCAATAGCCCGGTTAAAATCAAGTTCCAACGTCCTGCAAGTGCAACTTGAGAAAAGGCACTCATTTCTGAAATTGCGCTTGCCCGCCATGTTCCTGACACTTGCTCGGACGGTGCGCCGGCGCTCGCGCTTCTTCTCCATCGACATCGTTCGCCCGAGTGCAGGTCCCGCGAGCTTGGAGCCGGAGGCAAACGCGACCGACTCGGTCAAGACCGCCCTCCAGCAGAAGCTCGGCCTCCAGAACGACTCGATCGCCGCATGCCATCGCGACTCGAACCGTGTCGACTCGGAGCAATCGCTGGCGATGGAGACGGTTGCGATTCCACACGACCGCAGAATCAGCAACCACGATACAAACGTGCAAAAGTCCAAGGAACAAGACGTCCAGGTGAAGACCAAGGGTTCGAACGCCTTTATTATGGAGGCCATTTTGACGCTGGAACAAGACATCGTGAAGCTCAACGCCACTTATGACGCCATCGATGCCACTTATGACGCCCTTGGCCCGCGTCTCGACACTTGGGACAAACGCCTCGCACATCTTGAGGCCTCCAGCTTCAAGCGCAAGCGCGACCGCGAGCTGGACGAGCTCGGGGCCTTCATCGCCAAGTACGCCAACTTTTGCGCGCTCAAACTCTGCGGTGACGTACACACGGACGCCAACACGGATGACGACACCGACGATGTGGACCCGTCGCTGGTCGCCATCAGCGGGCGGTGCAGCGCTCATCCCATGTACAATTACGCAAGACTGCGCGCGATCATTGATGCGATCACGCTGGACGAGTTTCCCGACTTTCCGGAGACCAAGGCGTGCTGCCACGAGGCGCTGGAAGAGTTTGAGCGCGAAGCCACGAACGACCAGAAGCATCCTTGGCGCTTTGCCGACTAATGGCACATCTATTCGTGTTTGCTAGTTGTCTTTGTCTGGACAGGGCTGGCCAAAGCCTCTTCTGGAGGGCAAGAAGTTTGCGACAATCTGTCAAGCTAGAAAGCAAGCTCATAGCAATGCCTCGTGCACTGGGAGTAGTCCCAAGCAACCCCATGACATTGGTGCAGAGCTCTCTGTCATTGAATGCGTCTTGCGCGCTTGACGCGTCGCTCAATACCGGTACCATTGATTACCATGTCACTGTTTGCGACTACAGTCATGTTTTGCCGCTCCATCGGATGTGCCACCATTCAATCTTCGGACGCTTGTCAACGCTCACTTCAAGCCGGGGAAACCCACGAGATTGCATCGACCGAAGTACCCAAGATCCTGTGAGCTCCACGCTTCTGGTCTGAAACCAAAGCGAGTCCAAGACCCTCGAATCTGTTGCGGTACATGTACCGTTATAGTTATGTATTATATAACTGGACGTGCGTGAAAAGCTCTTGCACGCGCCTGGCTCTCTCGCCAGTGGCTGTACACGTCCTGCTTGATTGGTATGCTGGAGGCCAGCGGATGCTTCAAGTCGACACCACCCGAGACGCGGATCCAAGAAATGACGGGAATCTAGTCTAGTGCAAATGCGCAGTGTGCACCATCGTACCATGGACGTCAAGACTTCGACAGTGGGACTGTAATTTGGCGCGCAAAATCTTTGCGATCTTGTAGTCTGCGCATATCCATTTATAGAGGTTTATTGGATTTGAAAACTTCTAAATGAGGCGTGTACAAGCGCAAAACGCCGCAGTATTATTATTACTCTTGTCAAAGAAAGAAAAATGCAATACGAAGGGTATTCGTTTTTGAGAGGAATCCGGCGATCCACCGCAACCGGATATGTCTCAGTTTCCAAGTTGCCGCAGCCGATCAAGATGCTCTCGACCCTTGCGCCTCCGCCCGCTCTCAACCGAGCGTCCCAAGCTGCTCATGATCGCCTTCGCGTCTGCGAAGCTTCGAGCTCGAAGACGACGCGGTGATGGTCGACGTGCCAACGATGCTCGCGCGCAAGCTCGGGTACTTGCCCGTCGTCCATTGCGTCCGCAACGCGACCGGCAACACGTTCCAGCGACCGTTGCCGAAGGACACGGTCGAAATCTACGACGACCGAGTCCTTCGCCAATAGTCGCTGGAACGTGTCGCCGGTCGCGTTGCGGACGCAATGGACGACGGGCAAGTACCCGAGCTTGCGCGCGAGCATCGTTGGCACGTTGACACTGCAACAAGCCATCGAGGACGCTAACGCCCGTGCCGCCGACTACAAGATGCGTGTCGACGTCGGGGAAGCGCGTATCAAGACTCTGGAAGCCGCCAACTTCAAGCTCAAGCGCGAGTGCGAGCTCGATAAGCTCGGGGAGTGTATCGCCAAGTTTTGCATTTTTCGCATGCAAAAACTCCGGGGTGGCGAGCCCTCCAAGTTCAAGATGCACCGCGCGAGCAACGCTGACTTCATCGGCCCGTCACTGGCTGCCATGAATGACCAGCGGAAGGCTCGCGCCCATCCCGCGTACAACTACCCACGCCTGCGCGCGACCATTGATGCGATCACTCTCAGCGAGTTTCCCGACTTTCCGGAGACCAAGGCGTGCTGCCACGAGGCGCTGGAAGCGTTTGAGCGCGAAGCCACGAACGACCAGAAGCATCCGTGGAACTCTGACGAGTAATGGCATATTTATTTTGCGTTCTGTTTCTGTCTTTCGTCTCGACGGGGCTCGCCACAACCCATAGCTCGATCTATCGAGTAGACACGCGTGTCACGTGAGCAGTCCAGTCATTATCGTATCGTCGATGATCTTGCATTGCAGTGACTCATCCCTTCATGTACTTCGAGCCGCTTGCAAGTAGTAGTGGCGCGCACGCTTCTATCGCGGCCTTCCGAGAAGACCACACAAAATGCAAGAAGACGGTAATAATGGAAACGCATGTGGGCATCCAGCTCGTTATCTTCAATACGACGTCGTACTGTAGTTGACGGCTTGGCCAGCGACCAGAGGCGGTTCCACACGGGTTGCAGTCTGCCGGCGGGCGTCGATCCACTCCCTAATCCCCATGAACCAATGTCACTTTTCTCGACGACGTACCACACGAGCACTTGCTGGCCACGGTGCCTAGCATCAGAGACCCATATGAGCAATCACGTTTTGTTGGCTTCGAGAACGTCTTACATGACGTGGCGCTCGCGCACGCGTGCATCCCGCTGGACGTGTGCAGCGATGCTCGTCCAGAGACGCGTGGCCTCGCGCGAGTCGCTGGCGTGGGGAAAGAAGCGCTCTAGAATCTCGCGGCGCAAGCCGTCGACGGCGCCATCGAGTACGTTGTCGCTCTCCTCGAGACGCCGGAGTTCGCCGTGCACCGCTTGGAGCATCTTGGTAAACTACAGCATGCACGCGATACTGTAAGGAGCAGGGTCGTCACGGCTCGTCCTACCAGCAGCTTGCGGTACTTGCTCTGCTGGACCTGACTGTAGAGGTAGAGTACGCCGAGCGCGCCAAAGAAGGTCGACGCGTAGATCTACGAAGAAGAGAGACGATACACCAACGATGTCGTGCGACTGCGCGTCGTACGTAGAGGTGTTCGTGCAGCTCCAAGACGGTCCAGCAGAGGGCGCTGGCGTCAAGGACTGTCAACGCGACTTGTCCGTCGTCTTGAAAGAAGCGTGTACTGCTCTGCGCCGCGAGCTGCGTCGTCGCCTTGCTGTACGCCGCGACAAACACCACGTCGCTGCTCTCCTTCCTACCGTAGCAACCATGTATCAACACACGCAGCTTGAATCACACGAGACGAGACCAGTTGGCTTGGTTGCGGAGGTAGCCGATCTGCTCCGTTGCACTGACTACAATCTGCTGCGAGCTGCCGTCGTCGTTGCCAAAGAGCAGGAGATCGACCCACGACCCGTTGCAGAACGCCGACGACGCGCGCCGCATCAGAAAGCTGTCGATGAGCTCGGCCATCAAGTGGGCGTCTTGGCGCACCTGGTCCGACTCGACACAGCGCCGCTCGACGAGGACATACGGCTCGCGGCACGAGTGCAGTTCGCCGCTGTGGCAGTGGCCAAACTCGGGGCACCGGTGGCAGTGCAGCGACGGCAG